ATTTTCAACGACGTCTCTGTTCCTTAACAAGTCTAGGAGAGGAATGGAAGGTAATTTTTAGACACGATTCTTAAGGTTCCTTGTCAAGTCTCCTTTTTCTTCTTCACAACAACAAACAGCTGATTGAATACAAGTGCCGAGCGAGATGCGCAAATTGACTTTTTTCTTTTCTTTTTTTTTTTTTCCTTTTTTTTATTTATGTGCTCACTTACAATTTAACTGATTACGACTGTATATATTCTTCTCACTGAGCGACATTCATATTTTACCGTATATTCTACTTTATTTTGCTTGATCATCACAAAAAAAATTAAATAATTTTAGCCATGCATTTTAAGCTCTTTTTGTGAATGACAATGTGATATGCAGTGTCTTTATCAATCTATCCATATATATTTATCACTACCGCAACGATGAGAAACTTAAATCTTATTCTTTCTATCTTTAAATATAGTATGATTAGTATTACTAATTCTTATCGGAAGTGCTATCTTACCGGTCTATATCATAAGAACTATTTCATCCATACAATATACTTTACGATATTTTCTCGTTCAGTAACGTGAAGTTCAAATCGAAATTGTGTTCATAATAAATATAGATATAAATGCATGGATGAATAAATATGTATGTATATGTATATATATGTATATATATATATATATATATATATATATATATATATATATATATATATATATGTATATTTATGTGTGTGTGTGTGTGTGTGTGCGTGTGTATGTGTGTGTGTGTGTGTGTGTGTGTGTGTGTGTGTGTGTGTGTGTGTGTGTGTGTGTGTGTGTGTGTGTGTGTGTGTGTGTGTGTGTGTGTGTGTGTGTGTGTGTGTGTGTGTGTGTGTGTGTGTGTGTGTGTGTGTGTGTGTGTGTGTGTGTGTGTGTGTGTGTGTGTGTGTGTGTGTGTGTGTGTGTGTGTGTGTGTGTGTGTGTGTGTGTGTGTGTGTGTGTGTGTGTTTACAAACATGCATATGTGTATGCATATACCGTTAAAACAATCTGACCAGATTTCGGGTAACGACCGAACTTCTTGCTTCAACAGTTTAAGATCTAGACCATTTCCTGTAGCATGGTATATACCAGGGGTCGGCAACCTTTTGAGCATAGTGTACCAGTTGATTATTAATGTATTTTCCTACACATGCATAACACAAATGTAATATTTTTTGTAGCATTTATTATTCCTTGTTACAGAAAATAGATAAGTTTTATAATTTTAGATTTATACTCACCATATTATCTTGCTGTTTAGCTTTTTCTTTGCTCCCCTGAATCACATGGCGTGCCATAGACAAGCGCTCTGCGTGCCAAGTCTGACACTCGTGCCGAAGGTTGCCGACCTCTGTTATATACATTCATATATGCAGTTGTGTATATATACGAATAATCCCACACGCATACCTATGCCACATAAACATGTCATATTGTTTTAGCGCACACACGCACACACACAGAAAATAGGCCTAAAGGCAGAATATACAAAAACGCAGATCGTCAAAACTAATAGAATTATACGACCTCGTAGTTTGAAAGAAGTCTATCCAACAAAGACAAAGCATGCAACTATTCCCATTAACGCCCGAAACAAATTCTACTTTATCCTTATATTAATAGAAAGTTAAACAATACGCAATTAGTCTTATTACTCTTATCACGGCCGTATTGGCAGATCACATAATTCAATTAAACCCGTGAGAAACTACTATCCGAGGAGGAATTCATCTTCTCTTTCCGAACATTGAAAAAAAAAAACGGGCTTGCCGTTTCCTTACAGGAAAAAAGATAATTACGCAATAATCGAAAAAATCTAATTGACTTCTCATTCTTACTACCATACCGTTATTATTACTATTTCTACCTTAATTGTTACTTGTCTCCTTATTACCATTATTATTATTATCATTATTTTCATTGTTATTGTTATTGTTGTTGTTATCATCATTACGATCATTATTATTACCATTATTATCATTATTGTTATTATTGTTTTCGTTATTATACAAACTATCACCATTTATATTATCATCATTATTATCACTATCATTATTATTATCATTATTATTATTATTATTATTATTATTATTATCATTACTATCCTTATTATCATTAACGTTATCATTATCCTTATTATTGTTATCATTATTATTATCATTATTAGCATTATTACTCTCAATATTATTACTATTATCATTATTATTGTTATGATCATTATCATTATCATTATTATTTTATTTTTATTATTATTATTATAGTTATAATTATCAATATCATTATTATTATCATTACTATTATCCTTATCGTTATTAGTGTTATCTTTGCTATTGTTCTTGTTATCATTATCATTACTATTATTATTAGTGTTGATGTTATTATTATCACTGTTATCATTGTTGTTGGTGGTGGTGTTCTCATTAATATTACTATTACTGTTATCATTATTATCATCACTATCACTTTATTATTGCCATCATTATTACTATAATTACTATCATTATTGTTATTATTATTCATTTTTGTTATTACAATAACTATTATAAATTGTTATTAACACTAGAACTGCCATAGTTATTATCATTGTCATTATTGCTCTTATCATTATGACTATTATCATTATCATTATCATTATCATCGTTATCATTGTTATTACTATTGTTGTTATTATCATTATTATTATCAATATCATCATCATCATCATCATCATCACATTATCATCATTATTATCATTATCATTATCATCATTAATATCATTAGCATCGCTAGTAGTACTACTGCTACTGCTATCATTATTATTGTTATCATTGTTATTATTATCATTATCATCACTGTTGTTACTCTCATTACTATTGGCATAATTGTCATTATTTTTATATTTCTTATCATTTTTATTATTACTATTATTATCATTACTATCATTACTATTATTATTATCATTATTATCATTATTATTAGTAGTAGTTGTAATGTTAGTATCATTATTACTATTATTATAATTACCATTATTATGAGCATTATTATCCTTATTATTATAATTATTATCATCATTATTGTTATCATTTTAATAATTATCCCCTTGTCGTTAGTTGATAATTAATTAATTGATTGATTATTAACATTAGCATCATTATGATAGTAATTATCATTATTATCATTAATATTGTTATCATTATCATTTTTATTGTTACCATCATTATCATGACTATCATTGTTATTATTGTCATTATATCATAAGCAATATCCCTATTATTATCATTACCATCATCATTACTATTATCATTATTATCATTACCATTACCTTCGCCAAGAAGGTTATTTTTTTAGAAGCGTTGGTTAGTTAGTTTGTTTGTATGGCGGTTAGCAGGATAACTTTATGTGTCTTAGTCTAACCTGGATGCCATTAGATTTTGGTGATGATCCGAATCATGATCCGGATCCATGATTTCTTTTTTTAATGATTGCATTAGTTGCCCCTTTTGCCTTGGCAATAGGAGTAACTCTTATAATCATTATTACTGTTATTACCTCAACGAAGGAGGTTATGTTTACGGACGTCCCCAGTGTATTGTGATTTTTAATGTAATTCTTCATGAATATCTATATCATATCAGTGACCCTATTGCCTTCACGGAGGCATGTGCTCTTTAAATGCTTCTAGTTATCATTATTATTATTATCATTATTATCATTACTATCATTATCACCATCATCTTATCCTTATTATCGCTATTATTATTATTTCTATTATTTTTATTATTATAATCATCACTCTTACTAATATCATTGTCATTATTATCATTATCATCATCATAATCATGATGAGAAAGAGTTATAAACTATCATTATCATTACCATTATTGTTGTTATTACTATAATTTTTTGTATCATTACTATTGGTCAACATCTTTTATTATTATTGGATCTTATTGTCATTATCATTGTTATCACTGTAATCTTTATTATTATTATCATCATTATCATTGTTATCACTGTAATCTTTATTATTATTATCATCATTATCATTGTTATCACTGTAATCTTTATTATTATTATTATCATCATTATCATTGTTATCACTGTAATCTTTATTATCATTATCATTATTACTATCATTATAATTATTATCATTACAATTCTCCTTATCATTATGATTATTATTATCATCATTGTCATTACCAGTATCATTATGATTAGTATCATTATTATTTTCATTATTATCATTATCATTATTATTGTATTCTTCACGTGATAGTAACAAAATCATTATTTCTGTTGTTTTTGTCGTTATCATTATCATTATTAACGTTATCATTATAATCATCCCTATCATGATTGCTATCACTACTGTGATAATTTCTATTGATATTATTATCATTATCCTCATCATTAGTATCGTTATTATGAAGGTCTATGTGTGTGCGTGTGAGCGATATAATTACAAGTAAAGCACGGGGTGACTCGTAATGCGCGCCGACGCACAAGGACGATCGCGCAAGGTCGTGCGGGTGAACGGCCTTGCCAAGGAAAGCAGCATTACTCACGTGGAAGGCGAGCATGACGGAGAACTCGATAAGGTGTAAAGTCAAATGTACGCGCGGAAATAAGGGGAGGGAAGGTAAAGGTTGCCTCATGGGCATGTGTCTGATATGGGATGAAGAGTGAGAGGTGAGGGTAAGAGAGAGCGTCACGCACACACACACACACACACACACACACACACACACACACATACACACACATACACACGCACACACACACGCACACATACAGAGGGAGAGAGAGAGAGAGAGAGAGAGAGAGAGAGAGAGAGAGAGAGAGAGAGAGAGAGAGAGAGAGAGAGAGAGAGAGAGAGAGAGAGAGAGAGAGAGAGATGTAAGCCATTGCCTGGACATCTCGCGTGGGTTCCTCAACATTGCATAATCACGCGCAATATAGCAAAACCCTCCCTAGGTTACCGGTCATGGAAGATGTGGGGAGACAGGGAATGAATAC